ATTAATTTAGTAATGATTTTTAGAAATATAACAGAAGCAAGGTGGCCACCCAGAGTAGAAGCCAGAGGCCAGAGTGGTGCGTGTATCAGTACAGCGTCCCAGGACCCTGGGGCACCAGGTAGGGACATACAGTAGCTAGTGACACTCTCCACAGGTGCTAATGTTATGTTGTACTGCAGCGTTTAATTATTCGGGCCTTACGTCACTGTTAAGGAAGAATAAACATCAGTAGTCTTTACCCTCACAGGAAAAGATAGCCAGGTTCCTTGTTCTTCAGCCAAACTTGACATCAAAACAAGAAAGCTGAGTCAGCCTCAAAGCTACTTAGTGTCCTGGAAAAGTCCAGTTCCCTACAAGCTGCCCTCTGACTAATGTGACTTCATTGTGTATGTGAGTTTGGTCGGAGGATCGTGGTTATAAATCTATGTCAGTATAGTTACTGAATTATGAAAGTGTGAATTTACTGCTTCATATATAATTAATGGTGGTCAATAATTCCAGCTATGATAGTGCTAATTAATAATTGCTAAAAGAAATAAACATAATCTTTACTATTGGAGGACCAGTTTTTTAAATGTTCTAGCTCCGTTTGTACTGAAACTGTCACTCCATGCTTTCTTTTCTTTCTTTTTGGCAGTATTTCTGTAGACTAATGGATTTCGATTTAATTATTTACTTGATGTCTTAACAACCAATTATTATCAAAAACCAAACCAAACCCATTGCCGTTGATTTGACTCTGACTTATAGGAACCCTATAGGACAGAGTAGAACAGCTCCATAGGGTTTCCAAGGAGTGGCTGGTGGATTCAAACTGCTGACCTTTTTGGTTAGCAGCCAAGCTCTTATCCACTGTACCACCAATTATGGTTATTCTTTATGACGTTCAAATTGTCCCAAATCTGACTAGTTGGGCTTTGTTCAAGCCTGATCCTTTTTGCACGCCTCCATGAGTCTGGGCGTTTCCTTGCTTCCCATCACCGTGTGATTTTCCCAATCTCACCTCCTGCTTTGGTGCTGTCCGCTTGTAGTCAGGCACTTCAGTAAGGAGGCTTGGTTTAGTAGGGAATATTTAGAAGCCCAGATCTGAGACCAGAGTGTTCATTGCCACTGGTATATCTTTGTTTCTAAGCCTTTTCTGTGGCTAGAGCTTAGGAAGTGTGTGTGTGTGTGTGTGTGTGTGTGTGTGTGTGTGTGTGTTAATCATGAGTTCATGTTGATGTTTCAATTCAGGGTTAATATTACCTGGGTTTTTCATAACTTCCTTGATTTTGAATTGTATTTCTTTTCTCCCACACCAAAAATGTTGGTTCCTAATACCAAAAACAGAACAAAGCCCATTGCCATCGAGTCGATTCCGACTCATAGCAGCCCTATAGGAGAGAGTAGAACTGCCCCATAGGGTTTCCAAGGAGTGGCTGGTGGATTTGAACTGCCGACCTTTTGGTTAGTAGCCAAGCTCTTAACCACTGCACCACCGGGGCTCCTGGTTCCTAATAACATTAATATATTTTTTATTTGTGTGTGTGTGTGTGTGTATTTGTAAATTACACTACCACTACTAGTTCTGATAGTATAACAGCTGAATGAAATAAAAGATTTCCTAGCCCCCCCCCTTTTTTTTTTTGACCTTAGAATGTATCCCATTAAGCATGTATGGTCAGAGTACTCTTTACAAGCCATTTAAAATAATTATTTTCTGTCAGTTGAGTATGTTAGCAATTTGGTAAACTGTTAGATATATTTTTTTCAGTTTATTTTCAATATTAGGATTTTGCGTTTATAGCTTTTTAAATTTATGTTTGAATATGTAGAAAGAGCATTAACACAACTCGAAAGTGAAAACTGTATAGAAAAGTATGCTCAGAGAAGTCTTACTTCCTGTCTGCACCCGCCACTCTTTCTCTACCCCTGACACCCATTTTTGTTAGTTTCTGGTTTATCCCTCCAGTGTTTCTTTTTGCGGAAATAGGCACATATGTATGTACTTGCGTGTGTGTGTGTTTGAGTGAATTTGTCCGGGCGGGGGAGTGGGGGGTTGTGTGTGTTCCCTGTCCTTTCTACTAAATGTCCTGTTCTCTCCCATGCTTTTCTTACTTAATAATATATCCTGGGGACTACTCTACATCAATAGATAGAGATCTTCCTTTTTAAAAAAAAAAACTAGTAATTTTCTGTGTGGATGTATCATAACTTATTCAACTAATCCCCTACTAATGCACATTTGGAAACCCTGGTGGCTTGGTGGTTAAGAGTTCGGCTGCTTACCAAAAGATTGGCAGGTCAAATCCACCAGGCGCTCCTCGGAAACCCGGTGGGGCAGTTCTACTCTGTCCTGTGGGGCAATAGGGGTTAATGCGCATTTGGGTATTTAATACATATACTGGATTATTGTAAAAGTCACCTTTAAAAGGTAGTGTTTCCTTTAAAGAATGCTGTTAGAAGTGACTGATGAGTACGTAAAACGCCGTGTGGTGACTGGCTCACAGTAACTGTAAAGTAAATATTGACTGTGACTGGCTCATAGTAACTGTAAAGTAAATATTGACTGTATTTAACTGCTGTGGTAGCAAGGATCTTACCCCATGTTTCCCTGCCGTAACCTCGAGATTTAGTGCCGTTACTGAGATATATAGTAGGTATTAACATATTTGTTATTGAATGAATAATAGTTATATTTCAAGTCTCATTCCTTTGAAACAGTCTTGAAGAACTGGGACTAAAAGAATACTTTCTTAACATAATAAAGAATATGTAACTCATACTAGTTATCCACATCATATGCAGTTATCACGTTCAACAGATATTTTCATTTTATTTGGCATCAAAATATGAATGCCTGCTATTAACATGCGATTTGACAGTTCCAGCCAATTAGTAAAATTTGAAACAGAAATTACTCATTTCAGAAAAGGGTTGAATTACTTATTTGCTTTGATATAGTTACATATCCATGAAATCCTAAAGGATGAGCTGAAATTCTGCTGAAATTGTTGAGTTCAGTAGATGATCAGATTTGAAATGTGTGGAAAGAAATTGTTTTCCAGTACACCAGTAATGGCCAGTTAAAGCCGTAATGGAAGAAACGCATTGTTTTACAAGAGCAACAACCACCACCACAGTAAAATACCTAACAATGTCCCTACCAAGAAATATGGGGAGTGCATCCTTTTATAAAGAAAATTAGAAAATTTTACTAAGTGGTATTAAAGAATTAGAAAAATAAAGGCATACCCTGTTTCCAGGTGGAAATAGTGTAGAAATTAAAATTCTTCCAAATTAATGTATAATGTTACATTGTTGCAAATACAACTCATTTGTATTTTTTGGGAACAGTGTCAAAATTATTTTACAGTTCATGTAGAAAATGTTGAAAATGAACAGGAACAGGTTAAAGGCTACTGTTTACCAGAGATTCATAGCACATAGTCTGCTAGGAGGAAATAAAACTCATACCAGTTCAATAAAACCCTTCATATAGTGCAGTTAGAGTTCATGTGATGTACTTCTGGATACATCCAGGTATTCTGTAAATCCCTCATTAGCAGTCACATATACTTAGGAAGCAGACAAGGAGGCAGTGGTTTATTTTACAGCAAGGAATCTCAGATGCTGGAGGAGCTATAATTGACCTAGAGCTTCAGAGCATGCCAGAGATAACATCAGAATTATCTTGATGATTCTAAGTAAATTTTCAACAGTTGACATAGGAAAGAATATGTTTCCCATTTCATCTGCATACATTCTAGGTGACCACCTCGTCCTGGTTTGCCTGGATACTTTCCAGATTTCTGCACCGAAAGTTACACGTCCCCGGAAACCTCTCCCCCTGCTCACCCTCAAGGGGTTACTTACCCTTTACAAGAAAGATCCTATATCTGCAAATAATGTTCCCCATAAAATGAAAAGGAACAGACTCCAGTGTCTGATCTGGTCCTTCATAACCCTAAAGGCCCATCTTCGCCACAAGTTACCCTAGGCACCCAGGGTTCCCCCTGGAAGTGCCGTCAGTTCAGAGGGTGCTGTAGGATTTGGGTTCAGTCAAGACTCTTAAGTAGGATTCAGTAAGACACCAGGTAGTCATCTGGAAACTGGAGTTGGAGGACTGAGGCCACATGGCTTAGTCTTCTATCCTGCAACTAATCTCTAAACTCATGATATTTGTTGTGTGTTGGGTTTTAAAGTAATTATCCCTGTAGGCTGCACTCCTCAGCAAAAGCCATTTTTCTAGGAATTTGCCTGTTTTAAATTGTTTCACTGTTGTCTCTCTAACATAGCAATCCGTGGAAATATTTCACTCCATACTTATTTACTTATCTCGTGCTTTGTTCTAAAAAGGTTTTAAGATGATGTATTTAGCACATTATAGAGGAATGTTAGTAGAATACCTGTTTTTCTTCTTCTTTTCAATATTTATGTAACCATTTGGGTGATAACTGTGTTTAGTATCATTACAGGCTTGTCCCCTTTGTAAACGGAGAAGAAGGAAGTTGTTTCTTGTTTTCAGTTGTACTGATGAAATTGCAACATGCTGTGAAAAATTTTCACCACCAAGTAAAATATTTTAGTAAATGACTAGAAATACAAACTATGTTTACACCATTTTAAGGCTTACTTACTTTGAATATCTCCAAAGGAACGTCTTAGAGTAGTAAAACTGTAGTGATACTGTATCCTTAGCTATGTATTGGAAGGTGGCGGCATTACCAAGCTCGATTTAAAGGTCACAGATTCCAACGTTAAATTTGTTCAGAACCCCATCAAGTACAATCACAGACTGGTAAGAAAGTGCGAAATTCTGAGGTTACTTAGGCAGCTACTCCTTCCTAAATTTTTGGTGTAAATTCCCTACAGAACAGAAAGTGTACTTGTATCAGGCAGTTTTAGGGTCAGCCTGTTGAGGTAGCTGTTTATTTTTATTCTAAGTAAAATGTACCTTGTTGCCACAACTAAAGTATTTTCTCTTTATTTATTTTTTTTATTATTTTTTTTTTTTTTAGTGTCTAAAAAACACGGCAAGCTCATTACGTTTTTACGCACATTCATGAAGTCTCGTCCAACGAAACAGAAACTAAAGCAGCGGGGGATCTTGAAAGAGAGGGTGTTTGGTTGTGACCTGGGGGAGCACCTTCTGAACTCTGGCTTTGAAGGTAAAGATAAAATATATCAGTTCATAATCTCAATTACCGACCTCTCCAGACTGGATTTCTGTAAACAGTTAGGAAAGAGATTAGGTGAGCAGTGTGTTGCCTTTCAGTTGAGCAGCTTATGGAACTTTCTCAGGTACTCATTTTAGTGCTTGTACAGTTGAAGAAAACAAGAAGGCTAAGACACATACTTTGACATCAGAGAAGCGTATGATCTATTTAGGAAGAAGAGGACAGTTGCACAAAAGGTATAACAACACTATCATATTGCATTATTTTCATATATGTCTACATGGCTTCTTCAGCCAGTTTTCCTTCTCGTATTTTATCCTAACTTATTTAATTTCTCCTTGGGGAAAAAGTCATAGTTTTGAGACTATAAAATACCAAATCCAATCGCCAAGTTTTATAGCTAAAAATTTAAATTCCTTTCTCTATAAATTAAATTCTAAATCAAGGATTTAGTGGTTGGTTGAGTGGATGGATGGATGGATGGATAGGATTTCCTTTGTTTGTTTTTGTTTTATTAGCACTTTACCGTGTCCTTTCGACATGTTAGAATATTGAGGTATGTACCTAGAATATTGGTAAGTACTTGAAATAGATGATTTATGAAATTCTCAAACATGATGGGAACTTGTCATTGTGTCTTTTGAGAAGACCATTAGTGAAAACCACTGGGAAACACCATTAATATAAAGTCTAAAGTAAGGCCTTTCTCACAGGTTAAAAAATACCAGTGGACATGTAGTGTGTATTTAATACAAACTGCATGTTTCTTGAGAGAGAAGACGAAATACTATTTTAAATGGATGTTATTCTCAAATTAATATCAATGCAGTTCCTAAAAAAAAACAAAACAAAACAAATAGATAAGCAAAAACCCTGAGGATTATTTTTGCATGTGGAAAAATAAAGCAATGAGACTGTCAAAGAGCACTGAAGGGGGAAAAGGTCATGGGACAGGAGATATCTTAACTTCAGCAGACACTAAAAAATATTCAGACCTAGAATGCTGTTAGTGCAGAGGATGAAACGTAAGTGAAATAGCTTAGAATGTTCAGAAATAGTTCTTATGAGATAAAAATTTATTATGATGAAGTATGGTTTAAAACCAGGTCATGAGGAAGAGTTACTTATTAAGTATATATTGAAACAATTAAATAGTGATTTAGAAAAAAAATCATTCCCACTTCATGACACACTGAAAATATACTCCAAATATGTTAAAGAGTTCATTACTTTAAACTTAGAGAAGTAGCAGTGTGAGATTAGTTTGTTTTTGTATGCAAGAGGAGTCACAGCTTTCCCAAGTTTAAGCAGAACGCTTACTACAAAGGAGCAGGTGGCTTCAAATATATAACGCAGATATAATGAAAAATCACCCATGTAAAGAAAAGGGACCATAAACTAAGAAACATACTCATTTTTGGATATGAGGAGATGTCGCTGTTACAGTGTGGAAGACTATCATTTAGATGATGAGAAAATTAAATCCCCAGGTAGAAAAAAGGAGCCCTGGTGGTGCAGTGGTTAAGCGCTCAGCTGCTAACTGAAAGGTTGGCCGTTGGAACCCACCAGATGCCCTGGGGGAGAAAGATGTGACTGTCTCCTTCTGTAAAGATTTACAGCCTTGTAAACCCTATTGGGCAGTTCTGCTCTGTCCTGTAGGATCACTATAGGGTTGCTATGAGTCGGAATCGACAGGACAGCAACAGGTTTTTTTGTTTTTTTTAGCAAAAGGGAGAAAAGATATAAATACATAAGTTTCACAGTTATACCGAAAAGTGTCTATTCTTATTTGTAATCATGGATATGTATCTTTTTGCAATTTTGAGATACTGTTTTACATTGGTAAACGTGGTTAAAATAGCAAAGCTGTGCAAAGTGCCGTTTAAGAGAAGAGTGATTTTTACCAATGGGTAAAAATCGTTGGCTTCAGGTAGCTCTGTGAATTAGTACAGGCATTTTGGAAAGCGTTTGGCACTTCATAGCAAGGGTCTTGAGGTGTTCCTTTCATCTAGCAATTCTGCTCTTCGGAATTATCCTAAGGTTATGTTTCAGTACAAACAAAATGTTCATTACAGCATTATGTATAAAAGCCAAAAAAAAAACAACAAAACAAAATAACGTATAGGGGCTTAATGGTTTTAACTATTAAAAATTTTAAGTTTGAATACAGTATAGAAACCTGAAAAATGTTATATCTAAACAGTATATACATCTTGTGGAAGTCTGGATGCTTAGGTAATACGTGAAATAAATAATAGTTATGATAGAGTAGCAGATGTACAGAATATTTTTATGTTTTTTCTTAGTTGCATTGCCTTTTCAATAAAAAAAAAACAAGAGTATTATAAATGAACTTACAAGACTTCATAATAAAGTCTTGAAGCCTGTCAAGAAGAGAAAAGCCGTACTCAAAAGACTACAAAAAATGTACTTTCAGATTTTCTAAAACAATTACCAGCAAAAGTTAGTGACTTTAGAGTGTAATTGTAATTTGATAAACTTGAAAAGACAGAAGCCTTACTTAAAGATTGACATCAGATATATTCTAGTTGGTGTATTAAAATAATTTCCTGTTTTATCAGGGATGGAGAGTAAATGTTCATTTTGGAGGATATTGATTTGAGTATCCAAATATGCAAATGAAAACTAAAGTAACTGAAGAGGGAAACCTTTGAAGTTTATCAACTAAAATTTTAACTAGAAAAGAAAATGGTATATACTTTTTATATATTAAAGTGATTTATCTTTGATTTAATACATGTGTGAGGAATTAACAGTTTTTAAGTTTTTGAGAATTCATATGTATTGTATAACCCATTGCCACTGAGTCCATTCCTATTCATAGTGACCTTATAGGACAAAGTAAAACTACCCCATAGGGTTTCCAAGGAGCAGCTGGTGGATTCAGTGGATTCGAACTGCCTACCTTTTGGTTAGCAGCCAAGCTCTTAATCACTGCGCCACCAGGGCTCCGTACACTGTATATAGTCTATAATTACAGTTACACCATGTATGTGTGTGTGTGTGTTTGTGTGTATGGGGGAGACATACCATTTTAAAATCTAAATTAAAATAATTAGAATATATTATATATAATATTTTAAAGTCTAAATTAAAAATTGGAATAACTGTGAAGGAGAATGATATATATTATATATAGAATATACAGATATAGTACATATATATATGTATGTATACACCGTTCCTTCTCATGATTCTGTTTTAGTTTAGACTTTAAAATAGTATCGTTACCCTAAATGAAATTGATGGCACTAGATTTTTCTGAGAAAAGCTCCTGTCAGAGTATTGTTTTGCTACATGACTCATTCTCTGAATTGCAAATAGTGTTCCTGGTGAATAATCAGCTGTGGAGAAAGACTGTGCCGCTGTACTCTCTTCACTGTTGAGCACCTCCCTGTTGGAGCAGATAACAGACATGCCTGTCTCTTGTGTCGCGCTGATACCAGCGGCTGACAAGGCAGGCTTTCCCCATTTGTGCTCCCTGGTGCCACGGTTCACTCTGGAGGATCTTCCAGAGTTTCCACTATCCCAGGCTTCAGTGTTTAGAATTGAGTTGATTAAAGATTATTTCACAGTTTTCTGTATAACAAATTTTTTATAAATCTGCCCACATAATACTCTGCTGTGAATTACTGTTGTCTGTGCTGTCGAGTCGATTCTGACTCATAGTGATGCTATAGGACAGAGTAGAATTGCCCCATAGGGTTGCCTAGGCTGTAATCTGTACGTCTTTTCTCCCAAGGAGCCTCTGGTGGGTTCGAGCCTCTGACCTTTCAGTTAGCAGCCTAGTGCCATGCCACCAGGGCTCCTTTTGTTGTGGATAGACTAGTCTAACTTGTTGCTTATGTGGACATCCTTAATTATATAATCAAAGTTTTTTTTATTTGTTTTATCATAGTTTCTTTTTCTTTTTTTATCTGTTAACCGTTGTTCAGTCTTGCTTAGATTTGACCAATAAGTTTCTTTTTTGCCTTTCACTTACGAACATTTTCCAGTTTGATCTACTTCTTTACTGTCAGCCATGCTTGTTAGCTTTCAGGCATCAATTCAGCAAGTTTTAGTTCTACTTTGAAGTTCCGGGTGTGTTGCTATTCTTAGTAAGTATGAGAGGAGAGAACAGACACCAATATATCCTTTCTGAGAATTAACAGGTCTACTGCTGTGTTCATGTATTCTTTATTTATTCCTTCATCATGGTAAAAATCTATTTGAATGGAACAGATAGTTTTCATGTTGTTTTACTTGCTACACATATTGAAATGAATTTTCTTAAAAGTTTGGAATGAGATTACTAGAAAAAAATGTGGTAACTTTGTAGAAAACTATATAAAACTACTGTATATATATATACATACACACACATATAATATGTGTGTATATGTATATATGTGTGTGTGTGTATATATATGTATGTATATATATATATATTTTAATCCAAGGAGAGGAAAATCTGTTGCCTTTACTTATTTCTGTGCTTGAGGTTATTTGGCCCTTTCAACAAGAAGTTTTTTTTTTTTTTTAACTATTGTAGATATTCAGAGATTTTATAATCAGAGCACAGTAGAAAGGAATAAACAAGGTCCAAAGGACTCCGGAAATTAATCATTTAGGTAATGATATTTTCCTCATAAAACATCATGACACATTCTAATGACTAACACTGTACTGAACTCCTAGTCTTCCTTCCTTCTCACTCACGAAGCCATGTCCCTGAGAAGGGATGACTTTTTCATCTGTATCCTTAATGCTAGCATGATGCTTGGCATATAAAATAGACCTAGTGACTAAATGTTGGACGGATGGATGGACTGACAAACGGACGGATGGATGGATGGACGGACGGACAGAACAGAAATTGAACCAAACTGTCAAGAAAAGTCAAGGACTAATACATGGGGTCTCCATAAGTCAGAATCAACTCAACAGCAACTAATCACAACAACAATTCTTGTTATATTTGCTTATATTTATTTTAGCCATGATTCTGATCATTAGTTTTAATTTAAACATTTACTTATTATATTGCTATATGATGATTTTTAAAATATTAAGTTGAAGCGGATTCGAAATGTAATATTTGGAGCCTGTGTGAAGAATTCCTTAGGTCAAATGGTCTTTTGGAAGAACCGTTTTAGTAGTTTCTAATGTTATATTCTGACTAGGTGAGTCATTACTTAGTGTGCGTTTGGCTGGTTTGTTAGAAGGTTTGGGAGGAAACATGTCTAATAAAATGCTTTTTTTCAAGGATTTCTTCCAAGGTATAATATATTGGGTTCTTGTATTGCTTTTATACATGTTAGTGAGAAAGGAAACCATATCTTTTCTCTTTTTATCTTCTGACACTGTTCTTAAGTTTCTACTCTCTTCTTCATAATGAAAGTTCATGCTTTTCATTTTGTTGCCTATTTTTATTAAATATTTCATTTGTCTTTCTTAAGATTATAATAACTATGTTCAATTACAGAGTTGTTTATTAAACCCCATTATGTGATTGTTTTATGGACATTCAGTCCTTTTACTTAGGGAATATAAAATGTAAAGAAACAATTCATATGTTTTCCATGAAATATTATGTTTGTAGAGGTTTAGCCATAATATCAGGGAAAGAGCTCTAGATCTCTGTATTTTTGAAATTTTCTTATTTGTGTGGGAGAAGATAAACAGGTACGAGTCTAATATCACATGGGTGTGAGAGTCCCAGAAAAGTTATGTGTATTTTGTTATAGATGCTAACTTACTTTGATGAAAGCTTTGTCATGCATGTTAGAAGAACCATTTTAGAAGTTTCTAATGTTTTATTTTGACTGAGTGAGTCATTGTTTAGTGTGCATTTGGCTGATTTGTTAGAGGGTTTGGAGGGATTTTATAATGCATAGTAGATTTTACAGAAGTAAAATGCTGGGCTCTGAAAGGTTTTCTTTCAAGCAAACCTTTTTTATTCCTGATTGAGTTAGCATGTGTAATAAGAAGCGTCTTTTAAGGAAAGAAACTCTTTTTCTTTCTTAAGGAATTGCTGTTTATCGCAATAATATCTAAATATATTTCCTTTGAAGTAGATAAAAATTTCCCAGCCTCAATTTTTATTCTTCCATCTCTAGGTTTGTAAGATAGAAACCTAAAGCACTAATAGCCCTAGAAACCCTTAACTTATACAGATATTTTATATTTTGCAGATCGTTTTGATATGGATTGCTTTCACTATCAGCAGCAGTCCACAGGAAATACCCGACAGCTCTCCCTGCCTTTCATCCCACTACAGAAACATAGTTCCTTTCTTGTTGCTATAAGTTTTGGACATTCTTAGAGATAGAAAGCATACAACTAAGAATGAATACAGAGCTGTATGAAACTCGACTGGTTTGATCAGATAACTTTTTCGGCTCCCAGGGCACCTGTCAATTAACTCCTTTGCTAATTTTGTGCTTTGTGTCAGTCAGTCTCGGGAGTTTTGAGTATTCAGAACAGATGATAGTGCCCTTTAAGAGCTCACAGTCCAGAAGGGGCAATAATAGTGTAAACAAATAAATGGTCATTCAAAATGGTATGTGCTGCGGCTGCCCCTGCTTGCGGGTATTCAAAGAAGGCCTGTCCAAGAGTGATTGTTGCCTGGGTTTTGAAAAATAGCCAGTTTTCTATAAGAAGATGATGGTAGAGGGAAGTCCATGTAGAGGAAATTGTTTAGCAAAGGAGTTAGAGAATAACTGGTTTGTATGGCTAAATGTGAGACTTCATTAGCCTGGAGTTGTAAAATATGCAAATATGGTAATCGTAAATGGAGTGTAAATTGTAAAGGACCTCATCTACCAGACAGTGTATTGCAGCGGTTCATGAGTTGGACTGCTTGAGTTAGAAACTCATTTCCACCATTGCTTCCTGCTTGCCTTCAGGTAAAACATCATCTCACTAAGCCTCAGCTTCCTTTCTGTAAAATCAGGAAAATTGTAATACCTTCCACATAGGATCTCTGTGAGAATTAAATGAGAGTTATCATTGTAAAACACTCAGCCTGGAAAATACTAGGTGCTCAGTAATATTAAGATGCTTTTTAAAAATTATTCAAAGTTAAGGAGTTTTAAGTTTTAAATATAAACAATAGTAGGATCTAACAGAATTTAAAAGATGGACTGCAGGAGGGACAAGAGAAAGCAGGAAAACCTGGGAAAATTCTGTTGTGATAGTTAAAGAATAATATACTGATATACTATTTAAATGAAATCGTTAGTTAAAATTATCTTATTTAAAATATTGAATTTAGTTCGTTTGCCACTCTGAATGTTTTATCTCTGGTGTTGTAGTTCTTTGCAGAACAAATAATATTCTTCCAAGCATTTCTTTTCAGGAATTTTAACTAATACTATCAAATGAACACATGTAAAAAAGTCTGTAAATTCATCAAACTGCATTGCAAAAAAATAATGTTCAAATTTTAACGATTATAAATTTGTGAATGGTCATGTATATATTTATCATATACTTTGAAAGTATCGTTCTAGACCATAGGTCTCTGGATAGCCCCCGACTTGTATCAGATAGTCTATGCGTACAGAGAGTGCCCTTCTTTCTGCTTATCCTCAGGGTGCTGCTGAGCAGGAACAGCAGTAAATCTAAGGCTGGGCAGGAAGGTAGAAGAGTCCCGCTTTTTTTTAATTACTTTGTCCTTTGCATTAGGTTGTTTTCTTTATTGTATAAAATTAGAATTAGCCCTAACTATGAAACGATAAGGGAAGATTTTTTAGAAGTGAAAACTTGCAGCACTTAGAGGCAATTATGGTGCATTTACTGTGTATAGAATTCAGCTGAACAGGCACGTTGTTTCCGTCTGGTGTGTTGTGAGTACTGTGTGACCCAACCTGATCGACTCTGCTGGAAAGATGTCTTAGGGAGCCTGTCCTGATAATGTGCCGACTCTACCACTGACCGACGTGTCCTGGATGGACTGTTCAGGAGCTAGTCATCTAGTTTAGAGGCAAAATTAAGTAAATATGCCCTCATCGTTTTTTGTCGTAAATTACCCTACCGCTTTTAACTTTAATTTACAAATTTTGTTTTGCTTATGAAAATTGAGAGGTTCTCTTATTTTTGCGTGACTTTGATTCCAGTGAATACTCCTAATCTGTGCCTTTAAAAATTATCTTTAGTGCCCCAGGTTCTTCAGAGCTGTACAGCGTTCATTGAGAGATATGGCATTGTGGACGGAATATATCGTCTCTCTGGGGTTGCCTCCAATATCCAGAGACTACGGTAAAACCTTCTGTGGCATTTTTCTCTTTCATGCCTAATATAACTCAATAAAATGAAATTAGTTCAAAATTGCGTTACCTACTTTGATAACTGTTTCTTTCAGCAACAGTTTGAATAAGATAGGAAATAATATCCATATTGTTTTCTGTATGTATTTTCCTAACTGGCATGTCTTCATCTGTATTATCAGAAAACCATGCCTTCTTAACTTCTTTACTTCTATTTTCTCTGTTTACACTGTTTGAACATTTTAGCACATTGAGACATTTTTGAACCTATGACAATATGAGAGATAAAATTTACATTATAATAAAATTATTCTTTAGTTCATAATTAAATTTTTTAAACACATTTTACTGTGTTTAAGGAGAGTTTACATAGCAAATTAGGTTCCCATTTAACAATTTCTACATAAAGTATTCAGTGATATTGGTTACATTTTCCACAATGTGTCACTGTTCTCATTCATTCCATTCTGGTTGTATCATTTCCAGTACTCTAGTTTCCCTGCCCCCCTTAACCTTCTCATCTTTGCTTTAGAGTAATTTTTGACCATTTTGTCTCCTGTATTTGATTTTTTTTTTTTTAAGAAGCTCATTACTTACAGGTAGTATTCTTTATTTTATGATCCAATCTGTTATTTAACTAACACGTGACCTCAAGGGATAATTTTGGTTTAAGGTTTAAAGTGTATCTCGGCGATAGTCTCGGGTAGTCCTCTAATCTCAGCTGGTCCGGTGAGCCTGGACTTTTTAAGACTTGGAGTTCTTTCCCATTCTGTAAGGATCCATCTAATGTGGCCATGATTAGAACAGTCGGTAGTTGCAGCAAAGCACCATCTAGTTCTTCTGGTCTCAAGGTAGATGAGGCTGTGGTTGGTGTTGACTGTTAGCTCTGTGGACTAGTTTCTTCTCTAAGTCTTTGTTTTCCTTCTTTCTCTTTTCTCCAAACAAGTAGAGACCAATAGTTGTATCTTAGATGGCCACTCATAAGCTTTTAAGACACCAGATGCTACTCACCAAAGTAGGATATAGGATATTTTCTTTATAAACTATATTATGCCAATTGAGCTAGATGCTCCCAGAGACCAGTGCCTACTCTCTTGACAGTTCTTCCTCCTTGCCTTCCCCACCCATCCCTCGTACCCACCAGTGAGCATTGGTCTCTGTATGTGTATCTGTTTTTTGTCTTCTTTCATTGTACAATATCTGTCCTTTTGTGATTGACTTATTTCACTCACCATAATGTCCTACAGATTCATCCATGTTACATGATATTTTGAAGACTCATCATTATTCTTCATGGCTGCATAGTATTCCATTGTATGTATTTACCACATTTTGTTTATCCATTCATCTGTTGATGGGCACATAGGTTGTTTCCATCTTTTTGCTATTGTGAATAATGCTGCAGTGAACATAGGTGTGCATATTCTTGCCACTGCTGTTAGATCTCTAGGGTATATACCTAGAAGCGGAATGGCTGGAGCATGAGGCATTTCTGTTTCTAGCTTTTTGAGGAAGTGACATACCGTTTTCCATAGTGGTTGAACCATTTTACAATCCCACCAGCAGTGGATAACTGTTCCAATCTCCTCGAACCTTGCCAGGATTTGTTGTTTTCTGTTTTTTTTTTTTTTATCTTTTTTATCAATGCCATTTTTCCAGGAGTGAGATGGTATCTCATTGTTGTTTTGATTTGCGTCTCTCTAGTCGCTAATGACTGCAAGCATCTTTTCTTGTGTTTGTTGGCCAGTTGAATGTCCTCTTTGGTGAACTGTCTGTGTCTTTTGCTCATTTTTTAATTGGATTGTTTGTCTTTTTGTTGTTGAGTTTCATAATTAAAATTAATAGAAGTGAAACCTTTTCTAATCTCCTTTGCCCCATTTCTGTAGTGCATGCTCAGGTGTGCATGTGTTACCTCCCAACATCTTCTCAGAGACTAAAGGAGTGGTTTCCTGTACACCAGCAATAGAAATTTTATTTTTGCTTAATCTCTTAGATTCCAGTCTGTTCTTTATGTCATTGTTCTGTCTTTTTCTCTGTGGTGCAGGGTAATTGCCGTTACCCTATAGGGATTTTAATTGACTACAGAGCTCGTCTCTGAAGACTATCTGTTTCCAGGAATGCTTGTCGGAAAAAACTGTATTTGCTTCTTGTACTAAAGACGGTTTCAGTCTTTAGCTTCAGACACAGTAAATCTCGTATTCAGATTGTCTCCACACATTAATTTCTGGTGTTTTCTTGCCGTGTCTGTGGATTTATGTTAATCGACCTCCTGAAGAAAGGGAGCTTAATCTGCCTTAGTATTCTGAGCACAACTTTCATTTCACCCACTTCAGTGCTACAGGTTTTACTCTCTAATGAAATGTAATTCTTGCTGGGAATTTCTTCCTGTGGATTCTGGCCTCCTTCCCTCTCTTCAGTGAAGGGTTACTGAGCCGTACAAATTATATCTGAGCATTTTCTCTACATAGTTCTTCAGAGATCAGCTGCCACTCAACCCTAGGTTCTAGAATCACCAAAATGTTAGAAATTAGGGCTTCTGTTTTCAGTTTGATGTGGTAAGAGCTGCTCATTCATATGAGTTTCAGAGATTGTTGCTCATTGTAATATTAAAGCTACACCCTTAATTTCCACATGAAAAGATACTTGTTTTATGATCAGACATCCGATTACTGCTGAAGTTCAAATATAACTTTTAAGGAACATTCTCATTTGAAGAAAATTGTTAACTCACTACGGTAGAGGTTAGGACTTCGGGCCTTTTCTTGTTTTTGGGTTATGCATTTACTTTTCTTCAATAAAATCATGTGGTTTCGTTTCTCTCACCTGTTTTTGTTAGCCATGAATTTGACTCTGAACATGTTCCCGACCTGACAAAAGAACCTTATGTTCAGGACATCCATTCTGTCGGCTCCCTTTGCAAGCTGTATTTCCGAGAGCTTCCAAACCCCCTGCTCACGTATCAGCTATATGAGAAATTTTCTGTAAGTACAAGGCAGTTTTGGATCAAGTTCTTTCTGGAGCTTTGTTATGGTTTTATTTTAAACACCATAAAGATTGGTTTGGTAACATGTGAGAAGTAGTTCTGTGACTAAAAGGGCTCCTTTTCCTTTTTTGAAACAATTGTTGCTCGCTAGTCCATGGTCTGCTGTTTTCACTCAGTCATTCTTCTAGTTTCTGACTTGGAGCCATTGACCTCATCTCCCTTAATATTGATTATCAGCAAGCTTTTGTCAAAACAGCGATATTTTTATAGATTTTAATGTCCACGTAGTGTGGAGAAACAAAGTTTAAATTCTTTGATACTGTGTTGTATTTCCTCATTTAGCATCAAAGAGTAGAACGAGTTAATCTGACAGTGAAAACTGAATTGTAAGTGAAGAATTTTCATTTTTACAAGCCACGCCTACTGGTTAATGGTGCGTTATGATTGTTGCAGGATGCTGTTTCGGCAGCAACGGATGAAGAAAGGCTGATAAAGATTCATGATGTCATCCAGCAGCTCCCCCCGCCACACTACAGGTAAGCCAGGTGTTGTGAAGCACCAGCCAAAGGTGTAAGTCAGTTGATGTATAAAACTAGTTTTTCTCTTTGGGTTTTTAATTATTTAAACTTCTTTGGAGTTGTTTTTTTTCCCAGAACAAATTTCATTAATAAATACATACATTCAGCTTTATATTTATTTACTTGTCTTTGTATTCCTGGGGCCTGGCACAGTGCTTGGCATCTAATAGGTATTTAGTAAATATTGAATGAATGAATGAACGAACGAATGGTTGACTAAGCCTGTTTTGTTTTTTTCTTTTAGGTTTTGGTGTCGTTTACTGATTTTGTTAAAGTTGTTGCTAGGTGTTGATAGATGAACGAATGTTATCTTTGGTTGTTTTAATTTGTATTTCTTTCCCTTCCCCGACTTGTTCCTCTTCTGAATAACAAAATATTATATTGTTTCCTAAACACATTTCTCAAATTCTCACCTCTGTGTAGTCTCCAGACCAGTCTCTCTTCTATCTGTCTGTCTGTCCGTCCTTCCTTATTTAGTCTTGTGTGGGATGGACAGAGAATTACGGTTGTCACTGTAGATCAGAGCAGCTACAGTAGATGGTGCTGAGCGAGCAGGGCTTTGGAGCCAAGCTGGCCTTGATTTCAGTCACAGCACTGCCACTTCTGCTCTTTTTAGGGTCATTTATTATGAGAACTAAATGAGATAACCCGTAAAAGCATCTTGAGAGTGCTTATTGTCTAGTTGTTATCTTCCCTTTCCTGTCAGATTCGTGTCAGGCCCGTCTGAATCCGTCTGAATCTTTAAGCACGTATGTGGGCCAGAGTTGAACTTTCATCAGAACTGTTTAGATAATGGAGCCTTATACTGCCAGCTCTCATTCATTGTCTTTGATAGTTTTAATCCCTATCCAGTTAGCAGGGGACACGTTGAGAAGATAGGGTAACTGATAGATAATACCTCTGTGTGTGTGTGTATTTGTCTGTTTTAATTTACATTTAAACTGATCATGTTTTACTTCCAAAAATGTTCTTCCCTGTTATTTAGTCTCAGTATATATGGGATTGTTTAAATAAGGAAAACTTCGAATGGACAAAATAAACTGGGTTATTAGATTTCAAGTAGGCTGTTTCAAAGGCACATTATTTGCTGAAATCCGCTCCCCTTGGTACCTATGGGGGTTTTTCTTTCAGCTAGTTTCAGACGGGTTAGATGCCGTTCTCCTTCTTCATAGAAGAAGAGTTTAAACCTGTCCTGTTAGTGTTTCCGCTGCAAACAGAACAGCGTTAGCGTCACGGTATCATCTGGAGCAGAAATGAGCTCTGCTGGAGGAATCACTTCCCGGGTATCCCGGAAACTCTACACCTGACGGCCAGGAGCAGAGGTTCCTGAAGTTCTGTTAAAAACCAAGGCTGGTTCTCCCAGAGCCAGTCCTGTCTGAGACTCATTTCATACTGTGCCTGCGTCACGTGTTTGTTCTGTGTCCAGAACATTCTTCTAACACTTCTGTAGTAACAACAATATGCAAACCTAATAGCAGAAAAATGTACTGGATTTTGTAAGACCTCTTTTTCCATTTTGCTATGGACCACTTAGAAATGAATGAGTGGGCTTTTTTATGTTCTGCACTGGTACAGTGTTTTCTTTCTGCTAATATGTTGTTTCATTTTCCAGAACACTGGAGTTCCTGATGAGACACTTGTCTCTTCTAGCTGACTATTGTTCCATCACAAATATGCACGCAAAAAACCTAGCAATTGTTTGGGCTCCAAACCTGCTCAGGTAATTTACACTTGACGTTATAGCCTTAAGTGGAATTAGTCATCTTCAGTAAAAGTCTAATTCATCAGCGTTCCTTAGGGAAAATTTAAAAAGGAAAACTAATCTGCTCTTTTTATGAGCTTCTCCCTAAAAGAGGCAGCTGAGGCTTAGTCAGGGAACTGTAAAATTCTGATTTCTTCCTTTGGTTTGTTGGTGATTTACACGTTAAAAAAAAAAAAGTCCTTTAAGACTGCTAGCTTTGCCACTCTCTGATGGGAGTGTTGTTCACCTCACAGGTCAAAGCAGATAGAATCTGCCTGCTTCAGTGGGACGGCGGCTTTCATGGAAGTGAGAATTCAGTCTGTAGTTGTGGAATTTATCCTCAATCACGTGGATGTTCTCTTCAGTGGCAAAATCAGTGCCGTCATCCAGGAAGGGGCAGGTATGGCTAACGCGGATTTTGTCTCCTACGAGGAAAGTATTTATAAACTTCTAACAGAATGGAAAATTGTGAATTTCCTACCTAAATTTAAAAAAAAAACGTTAGGTTTATATTTAGCAGCTAATTTTTATCTGTTTTCCAAAATGCACAAATTTAACAGTTATTTTGTGGTATACAGTGAATACTACATACTAGACCTGTTGTCATATTAACTTTATGACATATTTAAAAAATAACGTGGCACCTGTGATTTATATGTATATAAAGGTCATAATATGGAACAGAAAAAAATTTTTCCAAAACTAAAAACAGCTGCGTAATAGCCTTTTCTGATACCTTTTAAGACAAGAAAATAGTTAAGCTGCTTAAAGAATTTCAAAAATATATATATAAGTGTTAACAACCTAGTATATCATCTTCTATTCCTTACTTAGTATAAAGCACTATTATTTTTGCTATTAAAAAAATGGTGAAGACTATTTAAAACAACACAGATAGGTAGATAGATGGGGAGACAGATCAGATGCACACACATGTTTTCTCCCCTCTGTGCCAAAATGTTTGACTCTCTTCATTGCTCTCCTTTTCCATCAAAAGCTTCTCTGTCAAGGCCCAAGTCCTTGCTGGTTTCTTCTCCTTCCACCAAGCTGCTGACGTTGGAAGAAGCCCAGGCACGAACACAGGCTCAGGTCAACTCTCCGATTGTAACTGAAAATAAGTACATTGAAGTAGGAGAAGGACCTGCTGCACTTCAGGGGAAATTTCATACTATAATTGAGTTTCCACTTGAAAGGTAAAATTCATTAAATCTTTGTCAGAATCGGATTTTCCTGGCCATGTAGTATTGTTTTTATTTCACTTTTAATTTTGTATTTTAGTATTACTATATTAATTCTAAGGAGCCCTGGTGGAGAAGTGGTTAAGTACTCTGCTGCTAACCAAAAGGTCAGTGATTTGAACCCACCAGCTGCTCTGTAGGAGAAAGATGTGACATTCTGCTTCCAGAAAGATTCCAGCCTTGGAAACCCTATAGGGAAGTTCTACTCTGTCCTCTAGGGTTGCTATGAGTTGGGATTGACTCGATGCCAGTGGATTTGGTTTTTATATTAATTCTGGAGCAATCCCAGAAAAAACAGTTTATTTGAATATGGATAATGCTTAATTCTCAGGCAAGGATGCATATGATTCTAAGTAAAGCATCACATTACATAATTTTTTAAAAGAAGATCAATTGTGTAGGTAGGGAAAATTGCTAGGAAAAATTATACACTTCTACTATATAAGCTTTGATTTTCTCTTTGAGATATGTTATCTAGAAGTTTGTTGAGAAATAAGCTGTTTTGGAGTAGCTTGTTCTGGAAGTAGTGCGTGAACTTGTTTGCCGTGGGTCCTGCGTGAAGGTTAGAATAGATCAGTGGGTCTCGAGTGTGGTCTCCTGGCCAGCAGCCTCGGCATCGTCTGGTGATTGTTAGAAGTGCAATTTCTTGAGCCCCACTCTGGACCCACTGAATCAGAAACTCTGGGCACAGGGCCCAGCATCTGTCTGTTAAACAGGTGATTTGGATCCTTGCTAAAGCTTGAGAGTCACTGCTATTTACTCTTAATGTCCCTTCCAGCTCTGAAATTCTATTCTCTGGAGAAGTGATAATAATAGCATGGTTTCTGTATCTTCTCTACTAAGTTACATTATGAAGACTGTTGTATGTCCAAGTTCTTTAGGATGTCTCTGCTACTCCCTCGCTGTTACATATGAATGTAAGGAGTCCAGCCTCCTGGATTAGGTGGTGCTAACAATAATGTAGAATCTATTCTTTTTACATTTTGTGTACCCCTCTAACTTCCTTTCACTTCACATGACTAACAAAAAGAGCATACTCTTACTTCATCATCCCGAGGTATCTTCAGCTTCTTGATTTTATACTTTAGCTCCGTAATTTTTTCAGAAATCTCTTTATGGGGTTGCTGTTGTTGTATACCAAGTCAATTCCAACCATATGACGGAGTAGAACTGTCTCCATAGGGTTTTCTTGGCTGTAATCTTTACAGGAGCAGATCACCAGGTCTTCCTCCCAAGGAGCCGCTGGTGGGTTCGAACCGCTGACCTTTTTAGTTAGCAGCCCAGCACTTAACCATTGGGCCACCAGTGCTGTCTATTACTGTTAGTGGTTAGCTGGTTTAAGATAGACCTGGCTTTCAGTCCTGACTCGACCATTTACTAGTTTTATAAATTTAAGGAAGTTACTTAGACTTCTTAGTGTCTTAATTTCCTCAGCTGTAAAATGAGAGTAAGAGCACCTGCCTCATCTGGCTGCATGCCTACATACGGTAGGTGATGCATCTGAAGCCCTTAGCGCAGCGCCTGCGTGTCTACATACGGGAGGTGATGCATCTGAAGCCCTTAGCGCAGTGCCTGCGTGTCTACATACGGGAGGTGATGCATCTGAAGCCCTTAGCGCAGTGCCTGGCATTCCGTGTGTGCTAGTTATTATTAGTACTTTTCTCTGCTCACAGCTAAAGTCATTTTCTTTAACTCTGTTTTATTTGGGTATCTTAGTATTTCCTATTCCCAGAAATTTCTTATTTCCCAGATTGTGACCTTGGATCTAAATATGATGATCTGTATAAAAATTTATGTTTGTGAGGCTGGTTACTAATGTTAAAATCTACGTGTAGAGTTTCCGTTCCATGCTTTTGTTGCGGTCGGGTTGGACCGTGTCGAGCGTACTCTGCGGAAGGTGAACATCTGTTTACTGTTTCAGCCTGTGTCTCTCCAGGCTGTTTGCCTCTCTCCATCTTTGCTCATCTCTTTTTAAACGTGAATAAAGACAGCTAGTCCGTCAGGCATCTTCATGCAGATGAATTAATTTCTCTCTCATAGGAGGAGGCCTCAGAATAAAATGAAAAAGTCTCCGGTGGGCAGCTGGCGTTCCTTTTTCAATTTGGGGAAATCGTCATCTGTTTCCAAACGAAAGCTCCAGCGAAACGAGAGTGAGCCTTCTGAGATGAAAGCTGTCGCTCTGAAAGGTTAGTGCCATTTGCAGGGGCTTCCTGGTGCCAGTCCTGTACCCTGAGCACACGTTCCAGGTGCTATCAGACAGGCTTCAGGAGAGCGTGTACATGGTGTGTGCCTGTACATGAACCGTGTTCCTGTAC